TCCTCCCGGTGGGACATGAACACCTCCTGAGGGACACGTCCAGGAGACATCAGAACAGACGTCCTCCCCTCAGACGCTCCTCTCCACGTAGAGGAACAGCGGCTCTACTCCGAGCTCCGACCTCTGTCTCTAAGGGAGACGCCCTGCAGAGGAAACTCATCTGTGTCTCTTGTATTGTGGATCTGGTCCTTCGGGTCATGACCAGAGGTGAGGGGAGGAACGGAGACTGACGCTAAATCCAGACTCAGCTCCTCTTCACCACAAGAAGCTCCTCATGATGAGAAACACAACGAGGTCAGTTGTGTCGCCCGGCGTTACCGAGGCCCCACCCTGGATCCAGACCTGGGGTGGGCGCCTGACGGTGAAGGTCTGGTGGCTCCGGCCGGGCTCAGACCACAGGAGCGACGTGGGGCCGTCCTCCCGTCGACCCAGAAGAGTCCAGGGTAGAGATCTGCTCAGACATCTCCAGACGTGGAGACACTCTTTATTATTAGTCTTAGTCTACATCTCCAAAGCTCCAAATGTTCTGCTCCACCTTGTGATGTCATGAAGTGGTAGTCTTAAGTGAACAGCTCCTTTCCCTTTAGTTCAGTCGAGATCGACGACTCCACGACTGAAATGATCCAGATGATTCTAGTGAATGTGTGTGGAGTTAAAAACAGTTCAGAATCCAAGTCTTCTGTCAAACGTTAACATCCCTCCACCTTTCTCCTCCCTCTTTTCTTTCTCCTCCCTCTTTTCTTTCTCCTCCCTCTTTTCTTTCTCCTCCCTCTTTTCTTTCTCCTCCCTCTTTCTCCTCTCCTCTCCTCCCTCCTCTTTCCTTCCTCTTTTTCTCTCCTCCTCAGATAAACATCGTGAACTTCATCCTCCCGGTTCTGTTCTTCATGGTGTTGGACTTTGCTTCGTTCCTGATGTCGGACTCTGGAGGAGAGAAGTTGGGTTTTAAGATCACGATTCTTCTCGCTGTGACGGTGATGCAGCTTCTGCTCAACGAGATCCTGCCGTCCTCCTCCAACCGCATCCCCCTCATCGGTAACATCTCCCCCCGTGATGGGACTTCCATACCCTCCTCTGTCCTCACGGGGTCTCAAGTTCTCCTTTGTTCTCATGGGGCTCTTAGGTTCTCCTCTGGTCTCATGTTCTCCACTGTCCTCACGAGGTCTCAGGTTTTCTTCTGTCCTCACGGGGCTCTTAGGTTCTCTCCTGGTTTCGTGTTCTCCTCTGGTCTCTTGTTCTCCTGTGTTCGCCTGTGTTTTCCTCATGTTCTCCTGTGTTCTCCTCTGTTCTCCTGGTCTCATGTTCTTCTTTGTTCTCTCCTCATGTTCTCCTCATGTTCTCCTCATGTTCTCCTCATGTTCTCCTCATGTTCCTCATGTTCTCTCCTCATGTTCTCCTCATGTTCTCCTCATGTTCTCCTCATGTTCTCCTCATGTTCTCCTCATGTTCTCCTCAGCGGTGTACTGCATCGGGATCTTCGCGCTGATGCTCGTCAGTCTTCTGGAGAGCATCTTCGTGGCTTATCTCCTCAGGAAAGACTCGGAGGAGAACATTGACCTGGAGACCCGAGGTACGTCTGATCCCGACAGGACCTGCGCCTGTCGGACCCTGCGTCAGGAGCAGAACCCGACAGGCGCCGTGTTCCCAACAGGAAGTGACCACTAAAGTCGAGTTTTTCTGTTTCAGCCGTGAAGAACAAATATTTACCCACAGACGACGACTTCCCCAACGAGAAAAAGGTAAATACCCCCAGAGTAAAAACCCAGAGTAAAAACCCCGGAGTAAATACCCCAGAGTAAATACCCCAGAGTAAAACCCCAGAGTAAAAACCCCAGAGTAAATACCCCGGAGTAAATACCCCAGAGTAAAAACCCCAGAGTAAATACCCAGATACCCAGAGTAAATACCCCGGAGTAAATACCCCAGAGTAAAAAACCCAGAGTAAAAAACCCAGAGTAAAAACCCAGAGTAAAAACCCAGAGAGTAAAACCCAGAGTAAATAACCCAGAGTAAAACCCAGAGTAAATACCCCAGAGTAAAAACCCCAGAGTAAAAACCCCAGAGTAAAGTAAAAACCCAGAGTAAAAAACCCAGAGTAAATACCCCAGAGTAAAAACCCAGAGTAAATAAAACCCCAGAGTAAAACCCCAGAGTAAAAACCCCAGAGTACCCCAGAGTAAAAACCCCAGAGTAAATAGTAAAACCCCAGAGTAAATACCCCAGAGTAAAACCCAGAGTAAATACCCCAGAGTAGAAACCCCAGAGTAAAAACCCCAGAGTACAAACCCAGAGTAAATACCCCGGAGTAAAACCCCAGAGTAAATACCCCGGAGTAAAACCCCAGAGTAAATACCCCAGAGTAAAAACCCAGAGTAAATACCCCAGAGTAAAAACCCAGAGTAAATACCCCGGAGTAAAACCCCAGAGTAAATACCCCAGAGTAAAAACCCAGAGTAAAACCCCAGAGTAAAAACCCCAGAGAGTAAAAACCCCAGAGTAAATACCCCAGAGTAAATACCCCAGAGTAAATACCCCAGAGTAAAACCCCACCCCAGAGTAAGTAAAAACCCCAGAGTAAAACCCCAGAGTAAATACCCCAGAGTAAAAAAACCCAGTAAAAACCCAGAGTAAATACCCCAGAGTAAAATACCCCAGAGTAAATACCCCAGAGTAAAGTACCCAGAGTAAATACCCCAGAGTAAATACCCCAGAGTAAAACCCCAGAGTAAATACCCCAGAGTAAAAACCCCAGAGTAAAACCCCAGAGTAAAAACCCAGAGTAAATACCCCAGAGTAAATACCCCAGAGTAAATACCCAGAGTAAAAACCCCAGAGTAAAAACCCAGAGTAAATACCCCGGAGTAAAAACCCAGAGTAAATACCCCAGAGTAAAAACCCCAGAGTAAAAACCCCAGAGTAAATACCCCAGAGTAAAAAACCCAGAATAAAACCCCAGAGTAAACCCCAGTAAAACCCCAGAGTAAATACCCCAGAGTAAATCCCCAGAGTAAATACCCCAGAGTAAAACCCCAGAGTAAATCCCCCAGAGTAAATGCCCCACAGAGTAAAACCCCACAGAGTAAAACCCCAGAGTAAAAACTGGTCCTTCAGGGTTTGACTGGGTGTTTTCTTTCAGAGTTCTCTGGGGGAGGACTTTTCTCTGGAGCTCGTCGTGGCCGAACTGAAGGAGGTGAAAGATTCTCTGAGTTTGATCCTGAGCCGCGGGAAAGACGAGGAGCGAGAGGACGGATACTGGAGCCGGAAAACCAAGGCCATAAACCGATACTTCTTCATCGCCTACGTCTTCTTCTCCTTTTTATTCCTGCTCTTCCTCTTCCTCCTGTGGATTTATTAAACGTGAACAGTTTAAAGTTCAGACGCAGGTTTTGATTTGTGCTTCTGTTTCCTCCTGGTTTGTCGACGGTCCCTGAGGGAGACGCGCCGCCATACCGACACGCCGCCATACCGACACGCCGCCATACCGACTTACCGACGCGCCGCCATACCGACTTACCGACGCGCCGACATACCGACTTACCGACGCGCCGCCATACCGACTTACCGACGCGCCGCCATACCGACACGCCACCGCTTCAACATATCGCTACTCCGACATACCACCACACTGCCACTCTGACATACCGACACACACCGACACGCCACCGCTTCAACATACGATACTCCAACATAACGCCACTCTGACATACCACCACTCCAACACGCCACCGCTTCGACATACTGGCACTCTGATATACCGCCATTTCGACACGCCGCCACTCCACCATATCGCCACTCCGACATACCGCCACTCCGACATACCGCTCCGACATACCGCCACATACCGACATACCGCCGCTCCGACATACCGCCACTCCGACATACCGCCACTCCAACATACCGCCACTCCGCCATACCGCCACTCCAACATACCGCTACTCCGACATACCACCACACTGCCACATCTACCGACATACCACCACTCCAACACGCCATACCGCTTCGACATACTACCGGCCACTCTCCGATATACCGCCATTTCGACATACGCCACATACCGCCACTCCCATACCGCCACTCCCATCCAACATACCGCCACTCCAACATACCGCCACTCCAACATACCGCCACTCCGACATACCGCCGCTCCGACATACCGCCGCTCCGACATACCGCCACTCCAACATACCGCCATACCGCTCCAACATACCGCCATACCGCTCCGACATACCGCCGCATACCGCCGCTCCGCCATACCGCCGCCATACCGACCGCCATTCAACATCCGCCACATACCGCCACTCCACTCCAACATACTGCAGCTTCAACACACCGCCGCTCCGATTTTGACATCTAATTGTCGGAGTGGTGGTGTTTGCACTTTTTTCAAACATTCCTGCTCTAACACTTTTTTTTTCAGGACAATATTTTCACAGACCAGCGGCGTAGGACTAAACCGGGACCACAGTTACAGATAGATAGATAGATAGATAGATAGATAGATAGATAGATAGATAGAATAAAAAGTGAATGTGTATTATTAATATTAACCTGATGGACACAGAATAAACTTTAGCGACGTCTCAAATTTCCAGGGTCTATTCCCAGACTAAACCGGGAAAAACTGTGACGATGTGATTGTGAATTTTATTTACTGCTCGATTGAAAATAATTAAAATTCACCGCATATTTTAACTTCTAACTCACATATATATATATATATATATATATATATATAACCTGTTTTGTCAGTAGTATTTAGAATATTCACATTTTAAGACATTATAAAACACTGATGAACTTGTGACATGCTTCTTTGCTGTGTAAATAAATCTGTAAATAAATAAAAAACGATGTATTTATTATTATTATTATTATTATTATTATTATTATTATTATTATTATTATTATTAATTTATTTATTTTTTATTAAATCTGTTTTTTCGCCTCCGCTTCTGTAGGTGTCACCGTTAATGCGCTCCGACGCACCACTTCCGCCAGTGACGTGGATTTCCCATTCAACTCAGCGCTGCGGTTTCTCACACTTTTTGCAACATTTCAGAGCTTTTTCACCACTATTTCAGCCTGATCTTTCGTATTTACGCTCTCAAAGTGTTCAACTTTGTGTTAACTTTGGTTTCAGACCCGTAAACTTGACAAAACGTGACATTTTCCGCGTTTTTAAGAAGCTTTTCTCCAAATCTGCGCTGCTCTTGGTTCATTCAAATCTTTTCCGCTCACGTAAAGTCTTATATTCATTTATTTTTACACGTTTATCATTTTTTACGACTAAAATCATGAGTAAAAACAAATTATTGAACATTAAAGACAAAATAGAAGGAAACGAAGTGGATTTGAGCCTGTGTAACCTGACGGAGGTGCCCGTGCGGGAACTGGTGAGGCGCTTCACTTGGATTTATGCACATTTTATTCACATTTATTTATATGATTGTTCTTTTAAATTGTTACTTTGATAAATATGTTTGTGCAGATGAAATAGTCACGTTTTATTGCCTGTTTTTTCCCAGGCTGCCGTCTCTAAAGTCACAGTTGTGGATTTGTCCTGCAACAACCTGAGCATGTTAACAGTAAGAGCAAACTTAATATTTTTATTTTTATTTTAATTCACAGATTTGGGGCAAAAGTGAGAAAACACGAGCTTAAATGTTATGATGTAATAGTTTACTGTGTTGGGTCAGAGGTTTGCTCAGGTTCAGAAACTAAACAAATGAGTTAAAGTGGAGAAACAACTGAAAAAATACTGTTTATCAGAGTTAAAGCCCCACTGTGTAACTTTAGCTGAATAAACTCAAATAAAAGCATGTTTGTTTGTTTTTTGTCATTTTGGTTGTTTTTATTCCACTTAAAATGACAGAAACGCGTCGTTCCTGTGAGCGAGCTCGCATCTCCACAAACCTGACTCTTGTTTGTCCTGGAGGAGAACCTGCTCCTGCTGGTTTCCATGGAAATGTCGTTCCTTTGATTGTAATATTCCACATTATGGCATTATATATCTGTCTCCATAGAGCAGGAGTCTCCAAACTTTTTCTTCTGGAGAACTTCTTTTTACAAAACGAAAAGTCCAGGGAGCTGTTACTTTAGTGTTTGTAAAAAATGGAATAAATCTGAGAGTCGCAGTTTAGGCTCAGATGGTTTAGAGTTTGAAGTGTTTAAAACATAAACTATTGATCTTTTATTAGTGCTCAAAGCAAATCAACAAACACATTTACACTGATAATGGATCAAATCTGTGGCCACATCAGTTTATCAAAGTCTGATCCTGTCAGAGGCTCAGCAGGACCTGGTCCTGGTCTGGACTTGGATGAGACTCTGGGAAAATCAGGAGCCACAGGAGGTGCCAGTCATAGAAAAAAAAACAAAAAAACTGTTGTTGTGTCCTTAGGCAAGACACTTCACCCTCAAAAATAAAACTGATGCTTTATTATTATTATTATTATCAGTAATTTTGAGTTGTTCAGCACAAGACGAGTCTTTTAAAGATCTGCAGGAAGCTCCAGGACCACAGGTTAAACACTCCTGCACAGAGACGTTTGACTTTAACTTTTTATTTCCATGGAAACAACTCTATGATATAACAATAATAATAATAATAATAAAAAATCTTCTAAAAAAAAAAAGGTTTTATAGTTGATTTCTTTTTCATGATTTTATTCACAAGAAAAGTCTTTTCATTGTTGTCTGAAACATGATTACATTAGTAATATCCTTCTACAGTTTTGTTGTTCATTCATTCATTTATTTATTTATTATCTCTCACTCATACGTGACTCTGTGACCCGTGTTTCTGACCGTGTTTCTGACCGTGTTTCAGCCGGACTTCTGTGGCCTGGTTCATCTGGTGAAGTTGGACCTGAACAAAAACCATCTGGAGTCTCTTCCTGAAGACTTCGGGAACCTGGTGAATCTGCAGCACCTGGACCTGCTGGGAAACAGACTGACGGAGCTGCCGGTCAGCTTCTCCCAACTCAGGGTGAGACACGCTGAAGCTCAGGGTGAAACACGCTGAAGCTCAGGGTGAAACACGCTGAAGCTCAGCTGAAGCTCAGGGTGAAACACGCTGAAGCTCAGGGTGAAAACACGCTGAAGCTCAGGGTGAGAACACGCTGAAGCTCAGGGTGAAACACGCTGAAGCTCAGGGTGAAACACACACTGAAGCTCAGGGTGAAACACGCTGAAGCTCAGGGTGAAACACGCTGAAGCTCAGGGTGAAACACACACTGAAGCTCAGGGTGAAAGACGCTGAAGCTCAGGGTGAAACACACACTGAAGCTCAGGGTGAAACACGCTGAAGCTCAGGGTGAAAACTGAAGCTCAGGGTGAAACACGCTGAAGCTCAGGGTGAAACAGCTCAGGGTGAACACACACTGAAGCTCAGGGTGAAACACACACTGAAAGCTCAGGGTGAAAGACGCTGAAGCTCAGGGTGAAACACACGCTGAAGCTCAGGGTGAAACTGAAGCTCAGGGTGCTGAAGCTCAGGGTGAAACATGATGAATATTTTCTATCATAACTCAGACTTTTCCTCAGCCTCACGTTGTTTCTCTTCATGAGTTTTGTGGAGTTTTGTTAAAGTCGCTGTCGTCGGCTGAACAGAAATGACCAAAATATAATTTACACAAAAATAATCATGAATCATTTTTGAAATAAAGTCACACAAATGAAAACAGTCACACACAAAACAACACAAACCAAACACAAACGTTTGGTTTAATTTTCTGCAGTTTTGAGCCCATTTCACATTTTGAGTCTTCAACCCAAAATAAAACTCTTCAGATCTTAAGAACCAGAATCAGAAACACAAACCAAACATTTACAGCACAAACGAAACACAAACGACGGACAGAGTTTTTGTGCAGTTTGAGTTTTTTCGGGGGGCGACTTCACACATGATTAAAGGTTGTATAGAGGATTTTTTTAAGGGAAGAGAAATACAGCGACAGTCCTTGTTCGCGTTCAGAATCACTGTTGAAGTTTCCTGTCTAGACGTAATTCAGCGACCGACGCGTCAGTTTTTGATCCTTCGTCTGCTTCGGTCGCGCCATCGCTGGACGAGATCTCCAAGAATCACCTCAGTTTGGCTTTGCTCCTTTTCCCCGTCTCTTCTTCTTTCTGCGACCTCAAAAACGGACTTTCTTTTGCGGCGAACCGGTCGTGGATTCTCGTCCGCCGTCGCGACAAACTTGGTGCGAAATGCGAGGAAGCGACAGTTCGAAAAAGCCTCTAAGAACTGCTGCGTAAACCACGTAATCCCCGCGCTCCGACGAGTCAGTTATACTAGGGAGTTTGATTGACAACCTAACAGCCAATAGAAAATGAGGGAGCCTTGTTTTCTATTGGCTGATGTTTATCTGGCCTCAACATGTCCACAGTTTATAAATTTTCGTTCTTTCTTTTTTTGGTCATCATAATTATAAAGCTGCTGCGTCTCTGTAATGGTATTTTAATCTTTGACTGACAGTTTGAAACAAAAAAAAAATCCTCCATACGACCTTTAATTTACTTCTGTGTAAAAGTAAAAGTAAAAGTAAAACTGTGTGTTGTTTTCGGTTCCAGAGCCTGAAGTGGTTGGACCTGAAGGACAATCCTCTGGAGGCGGGTTTGGCCAAAGCAGCAGGAGACTGTCTGGACGAGAGGCAGTGCAAGCAGTGCGCCGCTAGAGTGAGGAACTGCTCTGTCTTTATTATTACATCAAACGAAATGTTTTAAAACTATGACCTGGATCCAGAACACGAACGTCTACAGCGTTTGTAATGAGACGTGAGTCCGGTCTGAAGGGACAGGACTGGTCTGTCTTTACTGAAGAAAAAAAAAGACAAAAACCTGGAGGATTTATGCAGAAACGGTGAAGCTCTGACCTGAGGAGACGATGAGCTGCTCCGAGTCACTGAAATAAACTCTTGATCAGTCTGAGTTTGTCAGGAAAAAAACAAGATATTTTTCCAGAATTGAACCTGTCGAGTTTCTGTCTATATCTGTATTTTATTTGAACATTTAGAGTAAAATAATCCTGAAGATCTGACTGAGACGTGTTTGTTCAGGTTCTGCAGCACATGAGAGGACTTCAGGAGGAAGTGGAGAAGATCAGACAGAAAAAACTACAGAGAGAGAAAGGTCTGGACTGGGACTGGACCTGGACCTGGACTGGACTGGACCGGGACCGGAACTGGACCTGGAGCCTGACTTGGACTGGACCTGGAGCCTGACCGATAGCGGACCTGGACTGGACCTGGACTGGACCTGGAGTGGACCTGGACTGGACCTGGACTGGACCCGGAGCCTGACCCGGAGCCTGACCCGGAGCCTGACCCGGAGCCTGACCCGGAGCCTGACCTGGAGCCTGACCTGGAGCCTGACCTGGAGCCTGGACTTGACCTGGACCCTGGACCTGGAGCCGGAGCCTGGAGCCGGAGCCTGGAGCCTGACCCGGAGCCTGACCCGGAGCCTGAACCCGGAGCCTGACCCGGAGCCTGACCCTGGAGCCTGGACTGGACCTGGAGCCTGACCTGGAGCCTGGACCTGGAGCCTGACCTGGAGCCTGACCCGGAGCCTGACCCGAGCCTGACCCGGAGCCTGACCGGAGCCTGACCTGGAGCCTGACCCGGAGCCTGACCCGGAGCCTGACCCGGAGCCTGACCCGGAGCCTGACCTGGAGCCTGGACTGGACCCGGAGCCTGGACTGGACCCGGAGCCTGACCCGGAGCCTGAGCCGAGCCTGACCGGAGCCTGACCCGGAGCGGACCTGGAGCCTGACCCGGAGCCTGACCTGGACTGGACCTGGAGCCTGGACTGGACCTGGAGCCTGGAGCCTGGAGCCTGGACTGGACCTGGAGCCTGGACTGGACCCGGAGCCTGACCCGGAGCCTGACCCGGAGCCTGACCGGAGCCTGACCCGGAGCCTGACCGGAGCCTGGACTGGACCTGGAGCCTGACCCGGAGCCTGACCCGGAGCCTGACCCGGAGCCTGACCTGGACTGGACCTGGAGCCTGACCCGGAGCCTGACCCGGAGCCTGACCCGGAGGCTGACCCGGAGCCTGACCCGGAGGCGTGGTTGTGTGTGTGTTTCAGATCTGGAGAGGAAGCGCGAGGCGAAGCAGCGGGAGCGAGAGGCGAGGGAGAAGGAGGTGAAGAAGAGGGAAAAGGCCGAGGAGAAGGAGCGACGCAGAGCCGAGTATCAGCAGCAGGTGGCGGCGCAGGCGGCGCAGGAGCAGCAGAAGAAGAAACAGGAGGAGAAGAAGAAGAAGAACGGGAAGGCTCCAGGTACTGCCAGCAGGGGGCGCAGGAAAGAGACAGGAGACACAGAGGAGACACAGAGGAGACACAGAGGAGAGACAGAGGAGACACAGAGGAGACACAGAGGAGAGACAGAGGAGACAGAGGAGACACAGAGGAGACACAGAGGAGACACAGAGGAGACACAGAGGAGACACAGAGGAGACACAGAGGAGACACAGAGGAGAGACAGAGGAGACAGAGGAGACACAGAGGAGACACAGAGGAGAGACAGAGGAGACACAGAGGAGAGACAGAGGAGAGACAGAGGAGACACAGAGGAGAGACAGAGAGACAGAGGAGAACACAGAGACAGAGAGGAGAGACAGAGGAGACACAGAGGAGAGACAGAGGAGACACAGAGGAGAGACAGAGGAGACACAGAGGAGACAGAGGAGACACAGAGGAGACAGAGAGACACAGAGGAGACACAGAGGAGAGACAGAGGAGACAGAGGAGACACAGAGGAGACACAGAGGAGACACAGAGGAGACACAGAGGAGAGACAGAGGAGACAGAGGAGACACAGAGGAGAGACAGAGGAGAGACAGAGGAGACACAGAGGAGAGACAGAGGAGACAGAGGAGACAGAGGAGACAGAGGAGACAGAGGAGACACAGAGGAGAACACGGAGGAGGAGACAGAGGAGACAGAGGAGAGGAGAGACAGAGGAGACACGGAGGAGAGAGACGAGGAGACACGGAGGAGACACGGAGGAGGAGACACAGAGGAGACACAGAGGAGGGACAGAGAGACACAGAGGAGACAGAGGAGTGACAGAGGAGAGACAGAGGAGACACAGAGGAGACACAGAGGAGACAGAGGAGACACGGAGGAGGAGACAGAGGAGAGAGGAGGAGATGAACACGGAGGAGGGGACAGAGGAGGAGACAGAGGAGAGACAGAGGAGAGACAGAGAGACAGAGGAGACAGAGGAGAGACAGAGGAGAGACAGAGGAGACACAGAGAGACAGAGGAGACAGAGGAGGAGACAGAGGAGACACAGAGGAGAGACAGAGACACAGAGAGACACAGACAGAGGAGACACAGAGGAGACAGAGGAGACACAGAGGAGAGACAGAGAGGAGAGACAGAGGAGACACAGAGAGAGACACGGAGAGGAGGAGACACGGAGGAGGAGACAGAGGAGAAACGGAGGAGACACAGAGAGGGACAGAGGAGAGAGACGAGAGACAGAGGAGAGACAGAGAGGAGACAGGAGACACAGAGGGAGACAGAGGAGAGACAGAGGAGACACAGAGGAGACACAGAGAGGAGGAGACACAGAGGAGAGACACAGAGGAGAGACAGAGCAGAGACAGAGAGGAGACACAGAGGAGACAGAGGAGACACAGAGGAGACAGAGGAGACACAGAGGAGACACAGAGAGGAGAGGAGACAGAGGAGACACAGAGGAGACACAGAGGAGACAGAGGAGACACAGAGACAGAGAGACAGAGGAGACACAGAGGAGACACAGAGGAGACAGAGGAGACACAGAGGAGACACAGGAGACAGACGAGGAGACACGGAGGAGACACGGAGGAGACACGAGAGACACGGAGGAGACACAGAGGAGAGACAGAGGAGAGACAGAGAGACACAGAGAGAGAACAGAGGAGACACAGAGGAGACACAGGAGAGACAGAGGAGACACAGAGGAGACAGAGGAGAGACAGAGGAGAGACAGAGGAGAGACAGAGGAGACAGAGAGAGACAGACCAGAGAGAGACAGAGGAGAGACAGAGGAGACACAGAGACAGAGGAGACAGAGGAGACACAGAGGAGAGACAGAGGAGACACAGAGAGAGACACAGAGGAGAGAAGAGGGACAGGAGGAGACAGAGGAGACACAGAGGAGGACACAGAGGAGACACAGAGGAGACACAGGAGAGACAGAGGAGAGAACAGAGAGACACAGAGGAGACAGAGGAGACACAAGGAGAGAGACAGAGGAGACAGAGGAGACACAGAGGAGAGAAGAGGAGACACAGAGGAGACACGAGGAGGAGACACGGAGGAGACACGGAGGAGACACGGAGGAGACACGGAGGAGACAGAGGAGACAGAGAGGAGGAGGAGACACAGAGGAGACAGAGGAGACACAGAGGAGACAGAGGAGACACAGAGGAGACACAGAGGAGAGACAGAGGAGACACAGAGGAGACACGAGAGAGACAGAGGAGACACGAGGAGAACACGGAGGAGACGACACGGAGGAGACAGAGGAGACACAGAGACAGAGGAGACAGAGGAGAGACAGAGGAGACACAGAGGAGACAGAGGGACAGAGGAGACACAGAGGAGACACGGAGGAGACACAGAGGAGACAGGAGACACAGAGAGGAGACAGAGGAGACAGAGAGGAGACACGAGAGACAGAGGAGACAGAGAGACACGAGGAGACACAGAGGAGACACAGGAGGAGACACAGAGGAGACACAGAGAGACACAGAGGAGTCGTCTTTAAACCTGGAGGAGACACATGAGGCATTTGTGTGTCACTCGTTTATTTTTACTGCTTTATTTTCTTTGTCATTAACAGTGTTGTGGAGTAACAGATTACATGTACCAGAGTTAAGTAATCAGAGTACAAATGATGAGTAACTGTATTCAGTTACAGTTACTGTTTCAGTGAGTGGTAATTGGATTACAGTTACTTTGTTGAAATAAATGGATTACACAGAGAACTAAACCAGGACTAAGCCAATCAAGTAATCCAAAGTATTCAGATTACGTTACTCACTTTAAGTAATTTAATGGATTACGTTACAAACTACATTTTGGGGTGTGTAATCTGTAATCTGTAGGGGATTACATTTTAAAAGTAAACTTCCCAACACTGGTCATGAATGAATCATAATGAACGCGTTCGTGTTCCTCCCCGAGTCACAACAGGGGATCAGTGCTTCACAAAGCCACCGTCTCTCCACAGATCTGACTCGTATCTGTGTGTTTTTCTCTCAGCAGATAAAAAGGCCTCCTCAGATGTTCCTGTGAAGCCCAGACGCTCGGTTCTGCGGCTCCTCCTGAAGCTGCTGCTGGTGGCGTTGGTGGGTTTGGCGTCCACGGCGGCGGCGTGCGTCCTCACCGAGCTCCGGGAGCTGCCCGCCTGTCGACACCTCGGCCTTTTACTCCACCACAGTCTGACCTGGGCCACAGAGCAGAAGGTCCTGCTCCAAGATCTGCTCCTGAACCTGTCCTCCAGCGCCAAAGAGCTCCTGGAGTCCACGCAGCAGCAGCTCACAGACAAAAACTAAACACAAGTCTGCAGAAAGCTTTTATTTTTTTAATCGACCTGATTTCCCAAACACTGCAAAAATAATTCTACACGACGTGAAAAACCGCGCGACTCTGTCCTCTGGTCTGTGCTCCACCGTGTTTTTAAACTCCACACACCTCCACTAGAATCATCTGGATCGTGTCAGTCGTGGAGTTGCCATGAAACCTCATGACATCACAAAGTGGAGCAGAGATCAGGAAACAGAGTCGTCTTTCCGTTAAATGGTTTTATATTTGTGAATAATCATCATAAGAATCATCTCGATCTGCAGCTGAGAAAAGTCCACGTCCGAGTGAAGTGAAGGTCCATTAGAAGAGTTTCCCGTTTTTCCCACAGACGTAAACAATCGTAACGAACGTCCACAAAAACGTTTAGAACAAGACTCAGGCTCCGTTCAGACTGCAGGGTTTAACGCTCAGTTCAGATTTTTTTGTGAAATCCGATGTTTTTACAAAGTCGTTCACATTTCCAGTTAAATGTGACTTGTGTGTGTCTCCAGTGTGAACATTAAACGGTCCAAAAGTGTCCCACATGTGACACTGGAGACACGACGACGTCAACCGCAGCGAGCGTCTCTGTGTTTACTGAAGTTGTCCAAACATGGACGCAGCATCGAGCACCTGGAGATTTTAAAGTTCCTCTCGTACCGGAGCCAGAACATGAACAACTGACTTGTTTTAAGGAGGAGATTGAGAAGGAGAAGGAGCAGGTTTTTGGTGGTGGTGTTTTGTGGTGAGTGGAGATGTGCTTCACTTCAGTCACATGGATCATGAACAGTTTTCTCTGACTTCAGCGCAGAATAGTGACGTTTGTGTCTTGTTGATGACGTGTAGGTGGATGAATGTGACCTGACCGTTCACACTGAAGTCACATGTTAAAAGATCAGATATGGATCAGTTTCAGGAGCACAGATCCAAGTGTCCTGGTCACATGTGAAAACATCAGATCTGTGTGGTTCAGACATTAAAAGATCAGATACAGGAACATAGAGACAAAAAATCAGATTTGGGTCACTTCAGGTGCATCTGAACGCAGCCTTAGTCTCTGTTCCGTCTGCACCTGAAGTGACACAAATCTGATTTTGTCCCTCTGCTCGTGTGTCTGATCTTTTAACGACTGAACCTCACAGATCTGATGTGTTCAAGTGTGACTCAGGACACTTGGATCTGTCCTAAAACCCAAACAGATCTGATCTTTAACATGTGCAGTGTTGGGAAGGTGACTTTTAAAATGTAATCCCCTACAGATTACAGATTACAGACCCCAAAATATAGTTTGTAACGTAATCCATTAAATTACTTAAAGTGAGTAATGTAATCTGAATACTTTGGATTACTTGATATTGTCCTGCTTTTTAAAACTACATGAATGTATCAACAACATCCTGAAAATTCTTGTTTGTTTTCTTCAAATTGTCTGTTGAGTCCAAGTC